TTCGACTCCTGCATGGGATGGTGGCTATTCCCACCCACAACTAAGATTGAACACAGCACCTTGAGCTTAGGGGCCACGAGCTGCCGACGGGCAGCCAGATGGTGACTGGTGCCCTCCACAATGAAGATTGAAGAACAACAACTTGGCTAGTCCCCTCCCCCAATTCCCCAATAAAATCTTTAAAAAAAAAACAAAAAACCTTCATCATTTGGAATGGTATATTATAGGTTGGTTATGTAAATTTTGTACTTTGCAGACTAACTAAATTAAACCTAATATCTGAATTCTGAAGAATAAACTTGATCAGATGAATAGCTTGTTCACATCTTTAAGCTTTTCACAATTGCCTAACTTATAAAATTGCTATGTGACAAAGTAAAAAGAGATAACATACACATACTTCTTAGAAATATGGAGGTAAATGTCAGAAGAGACCAATTTAACCAGTTGAGTGTTTGCCTCTGAGTAGCAGGAAGTAATGATAGAATGGGAACAAGGGTATCGGGAGCCTTTGCTTTTGGTATGTCTTTTTTTAAAGCATTATTTAACTCCCTAAACTAATTGCATGAAATATTTTCATAAAAATAAACATTGATTAGCAAGAAAGTTTTAATGACAAGCAAGTCCATGCCCCCTATTTGTAATTGGGCAGGCGAGAAGGAAGGAAACAGGAAAGGTTATCATTTGAGTTAGACAATAGAATTTAGTTTTGGAGAGATTCCAATACAAGTTGAAAGGAAGGTCAAGTTTGGGGAGGAATATGAAACTGTAAGGATAAGAGAATGCACTCTTCCTTCTTTAAAGGTCACTTGTTACAAAATGAAAATCTTGGCAACATATTCTCAGGCTTCTCTCGCCTCCCCACCTCTCTGCCTTCTTTTCTCTATATATAGTGTACTAACTGAATCCAAATCTAAGAAATTATTGAAACAAGATAACATATTGAAGCAGCTCCTTGCCAGCTAAGTTTCATAGACTTGAGGATCTTTGAGTGGTATAGTAACGGCCCTAAACAGTAATTTTCACTTAAGGAAAAACTTTGATTCCTCACATGCTTGATTGTATTTTAGCCTCATTCATTTCCTTTTCGTGACTCAAGCATTTGGACTTCAACTACTTGCCAATTCTTCTACATCTTCAATTTGACCTTTCTCTCGGCATTTATTATTTTCCACCCAAGTTCATATACAGACACATGATTTGAATTCAGGACTACTTTAAGTCAAGGCAATGGTGAGAAAAGTTACGTAGCTAATCCTTTAGCAATGCCCATCCCCTCCCCCAAAAAGGAAATGGATGGGAAGTTTTTAAAGAGAAAAAAAAAAGATAAGGTTGAGAAGAAAATGACAAGAAAAATGTAAGGATAAGTTCTGGGGGAAATGGCTCTACTTTGGCAGAAGAAAATAAAATTCTATGTTTAGGAGCTTTGCTAGTCCTATTTCAAAGCAATAAAACAGGTATTACCTTACTAAATCACTTATATCCATTTTAGAACTACCTGTTCCTCCGTAATTTGTAGTTTATTCCTCAAATCATTTGGTAATAAAATTCTAATGAATTCAGTGAAGCCTGAAAGATAAATGAAAAGTATTCTAATACTATCCTATGCTTTCATATATAGTTTCTCCTCTACAGACATAAAGCAGTTTACAGATACTTTCTCTTTTATTTGTCCAGCATTTCTATGACTGCAACAGAAGGCTGTGTACCCTGTGAATTGTCAGGAAGAGACCCAAATTCCAGACTTCAAGTTCCGGACTTTTTCCACTGACCTCTGCCACCTCTCTAGATCCAGTGATGTACTTTCCAGACTGTGGTTCCTTCTAACAGATGCTTGTTTTTCTTCCTGATGCTTAATTCCCCAAGGAATCTCTCAGAGAGAGGCTGGTTTCATTCCGTTCATCAACCCCTTTGGGTACAATTCCTCAATCAGTTGCACATTCAGGTAACACCTTTCCTTCCTGACTTCTCATCAGAATTGCTACTCTGGCTTCGTGATCATATACGGAGGTTGTTTTAGAAGCCTGGGATGGAAATTGCCTGGACTTGAAGACAAGCCCATTCATGAGACGACATACTCTCTTAATGCTGTCTCACCCACCTTGAGCTTTAATTCCCTTTTAAAGGTGTTTATTTGAAATCACTTTTGATTTGAAATCACTTTTTCTAAGAGATCAAGTCAAGAGGTTGGCAGACAATGAAAGGTTTTGACTGACGTCTTTGTAGTTGACTCAAGGACACCATTATGCCTTGCCCTGTGACTCTGAGATAATTTCTTTGTGCTTTCACATTACATATCAATAAAATCAAAATCTCTCCAGTGACAGAATAATTACAGGTTTTAAAATATTACGAGACATTGCTGTGCGGCCAGGTCCCAGCTTTTAAAATGCCATTTACTACCCATAATTCTTGTGTATATTAACCAAAAAGAAAATGATTAGAAGTGTGTGTGTGTGCGCGTGTGTGTGTGTGTGTGTGTGTGTGTGTGTGGATAGGCTGTGTTGGGGGTGAAATGAATGTTAGATGAATTGGCCAAAATCAATGATTACATCAGACAAGCCACTGAAAAACAAGAGGACTATATCTCTTGCTGGCTCCTCATAAGATGTGTGTCCATTAACTTCTGGCTGTGTTTCAATAAATAAAATTGAAAGACAGAGCCTTTATTTCCCCACTCAAAGGTATTTCCCCAGATGCTCTACAAATCTTATGCATTCAAATATATGATAGAGTGGGCCGTGGAGACGGCAGCGCCGTGGCTTCAGCACCGTGAGAACGGTGGGGTGGGGGCACCCATGAAAGTTGCACGAGGCAGCATCTGTGAATGACCTGCTGAAATGTGAGATGATGATGTTCTCCAAGGCATCAGGCTACTACTGGAGGAGCCGCTGTCCAAAGGGAGCAAAAAGGAGCAATGAGGCTGTATCTTCTACCTGGCTGAGGGCACGACCAGCTCAAGGAATGTGAAAAGGCCCTAAGATCTATGCAAGGGCTGCTGCACACAAAGCAGCCAGGAGAAGAAGTTGAAGAAAGGAGAAAACTGTTTCTGTTCTTCCTCCTTTGTCATCTTCTCTCCCCCCACCCACTCCCCACCATCCCTATCTTTATCACCCCAGCACTTTGCTCCTCATCCCCAAGTCCCTCTGAATTCCTGGTTATTAAAATCCCTCGAGCCCTCCTCCCGTGTTTAGGCCCTTTCAGTCTCCCTTTTAATGACCTCCCTCCAGGCAGTCCCCCCTGAGCCATCCCCTCACCCCCTTACCAAAAGCTTTCCCAGTGAGATTTAGGAGACAGCCAAGTTGAAGAATTTACAAATTATCTCTCAGCATGGATTATTTCTATATACGTATTAAAAAAAAATTAGTCTAGTTTATGCTGATTCTTAACAGCATTGATTTTGGAATTTCAAATTTTAAAACCAATTTCTCAAATTTTGCCAGTGCTCTAATAATGTAACAGTATGATGCAATATAAAATAAGGACCAAATGATACTTACGCAGATACTTATACAGAAAGAGAGATGGAATGAAAGGCCTACTATGTGAATCCATTGGGACCCCTGGAATGAGGTGATAAGAAAACTAAGGAAGCCTATGACTGGGCAAAAATGGGTAGAGAGGGGTGGCCGGTTAGCCTAGTTAGAGTGTAGTACTCATAACACCAAGGTTGCCGGTTCAATCCCCACATGGGCCACTGTGATGCACCCTCCACAACTAGACTGAAACCACTACTTGACTTCGAGCTGATGGGTCCTGGAAAAATAGTGTTCCCTAATAAAAAGAAAATTTTTTTTTAAGTCTTTAAAAAAAAGGGTAGGCTCCTTTGATCTTTAGAGCCATACTAAGTTTTCAATTTGGTGGGAAAATCACCCTAAAACCCAGATCTTCAAATCGATAACTTCATGGTGTCAGTGAAATATATGAGCTTCAGAAATCAGGAAGAGGAGTTCAAATCTTGGCTCTGCCTCTTACTTTAAGTATGTGAATTTGTAAAAGTTATTTAGCCTCTTTGAAACTGTTTCCCCATCTGTGAAACAGGGTACATTTGCTGGGAAGATTAAATGAGCTAACCTAACAAGGGCCAGACAGAGATTAATGAAAGCTAGCCTTCTCCCCAACCTCTTTCGCCCTTTGCTGTGCTTGACAGTTGGAGCAAACCTGGATTCCCAGATCACATCAAGCAAGGGAGGAAGGCGGCCAAATCTTTATCAGGAATCTAAGCCCCTAGTTTATTTGCTACTCTCCCTTAGTCATACCTATCACTGTTAGTATAACTCTCAAAACCTCTCTGGAACTCAGTTCATTCCTCAGTGGGATAAGGAAATAACAAGCGAGGCTTCTAAGATACAGATTAGATAAGAGGCAATTAACATTTATAAAATACAGTGTTACCCAAGGATGAAAGTGCAGAGTCAAAACACATTTTCAGCAAATGCTATTATTGGATAGGGCGGTGTTTCCCAAGATGTGGGGTGTGAATTTGGTATACACAATGATTTTAGGTGGAAATCAGCTGCAGCATATAATGGCATAAAATCCATAGAAAGTTACTACCTTTTCAATTGTCTTTGATTACAGCAAGAGATAATTCTCATTTGGGATCTCTGACACTTACTTATTTCTCTCTTTAAAAAGAGAGCAAAGCTCAGGCTCCATGCCTTGAGCAAGAGGAATAACTAAGCAGAACTTAGAAATACTTCCCAAGTTTTGTTTTTTATGTTTATCTTATTATAGCAAACAATACTGGTCTTCCATTTATGATAATGGCAAAAAAATTTATTTTTAAAATACATTGAAGTGTTAACATATATTACATATTAGACGTTTAAATTTTTAAAAACAAGTTGACAAATGAAACTATTACGTAAGTACTATTAAGTGGATTCAGACAAATTAAAAAAGGTAGTCTGTAAATAACTGAAGTTTAGGAAACACTGGCCTTATGGATGGGGAGTCAGGATACCTGGGTTCTAGTCCCACCTCTGGTAGTAACTTACTGTGTGACTTTGGTGAAATTACTTGAATCTCTCTGAGGCTCAGCATCTACATCTGGAAATGAACAGGTCTTGCGTAGGTGGTCTCCAAGAATCCTTCTGATTCTAATATCCTATAATTTGAAGCAAATAATTAGAGCATTTTCTATTCTTCTGGCTAAGAAGAATCAATGGCTCTGTCTTCCTACCCTATTTTCTCTCCATACCCCCCTTCAGGCATTTTGATATCTAATTCAGAAGAAACATGGATCAACATTTAATTAACACTGATAAATTTTACTAATGCATATGTTATCCCAAAAAAGCAAAATAAAGGAAGGAATTCTTTGTCATGGAAAGAATAGTGGGTTTTGAGGGAGATGGCGTTCATTTTGGTCCTCACTTTGTCATTTACAGATAATGTGATCTTAGGTAACCTTAAGTTCCTTTTAGCACCAAAATTCTATGAAATGCAAATGAGTCTATAAAAAGGAAATACACCAGATGAGAGTTCACTTCCTTTCCTTTGTAATGGAGATATTTGCCATCTCACATAATATTTTAATACAGATGCCAAGCTGAAATAGCTTCATTTTGATATTAACATGGTATTTGGGACATAGTAGGTAATCAATAAATATTTAATACATAAATAAAGAGTGGCTTCTCATGAACATGAGGCCAAAAAGAATCACATTTCATCAGGTAAGAACTTAATTAAGTCAAAGGGAGTTAACTGAGCAGCCATACTTGTCAGGCATTATACCGTCTTGTCTTCCATAAAGGGCAAGATAAAAAAAAGGACATGACTTCTGTCTTCCATTAAGACCCTTTTGGGGGAGATGGCACGTATACAAATAACTACATTATTCTAGAAGAACTACAGTGCAATTGGAAAAGTGCTGAGCTTCTTATGAGCAGAACTGGGCCTCATCCTCATTCTTCCACTAACTAGTTGTACGAATGTGAGAAATCGTTGGTACGTCAGCCATGAGTTTCATCACCTGTATGATCGCTAAGGTCCCTTCCAGCTACGAGTGTGAAAATGACTCTCAGAAATTAGTTTAAATACTTAGTCTTGAAGATTTTAAACTATATATTAGAGGTGATCTCTTCAGTACACTTATTTTTCTATGTAAAACTAATAAGCGAAGTGACCAATTTGCTTTTTATTGACTTCAATCCACAATTGCCTCAATCTTTGAACTCTCCTACTAGCAAACTTCCTAATTTCATTTCTCTTTATTTTTGTAAAGACAATAATAGGAACACTTGCTTTCTACACTAATCTCAAATACCTTATTAGGAGGTTAGATGAAAGATACAACTCCATTCCAGTCAATAAACATTGAAGATCAATTATGTGCAAAGCCCTAAAAATGACTCCAAGATAAAGAAAGGTCATGGCCCTTAGGAACCTACAACCCAGTGGAGAAAAGGAAACATTTCCATTACATCAAGAGTATTCATGTCATAGAAAGGAAAAAACAAATTCAGAAAGAAAACAGTGTGGAAGATATAAAAGAATTTGAACAGAAATGATGTAGAGGAGTGTTGGAAATTGGTCAGGAATTCCTCAGCCTAAAAAAACTATGACCTACTACTTGATTTGGGGCTGATGGGTCCTGGAAAAACACACGGTTCCCCAATTTAAAAACAAACAAACAAAAACACTATGACCTATACTAGCAAAGTAAAGGCATCAACAGGAAGATCTTGCATTCAAGTCCATTACACAAGTGCAAGACCAGTTGGCAGGGGCCAGAAGCTCCAATGGAGATAACCCGTGAGCTGTCTCCAGGACTCTCTGAGGCCCCTGGAAAAAGACTCAAATTCTAACCAATGCAATTGCCCTCCACCAGAAGGGAGAAACATCTGACTAAAAAGCCAGGCAACTAGGAGCTAGCAAGACTCAGGAAGCACTTCGCCAACAAGAAACAAAATAATAGAGGGGGAGGACAGGTAAGAGAAATCCTTCGGTGAAGGATAATCTTCTTCCCTCTCATAATCTCCATATAGAATGGTCACAGGCAGGAACATTCAGAAAAATGAACATGCAAAGCTCTATCAAAGGTTTGATATGAGGATAATCTCCATTACAGTGTGGAATATTCCATTTCATATAGATTTTTCCTGAAGGTCAAGGACTGAGCTAAAGGACACAGCTGCATGTAAGTGCCCTGAGTTTAGGGCACTTAAGGAGAGGAAGGAAATGGATGGGGGTTAGCTCAGCAACAAGCAAAGGGAATCCTACAGAACACTGAAGACAGGGGACTCCTTCTTACTCTTTTAGATATAGTATAAATTTTCTACGAGCCACCAAGGGCACTCTGGCTCAGTCATAGATGTAGAAACATCTAGACTAGTTAGTTGCACCATTTTCCACACGTATGAGCCATTTGGGGTATAATTGTAAACTAAGGTCAAATTACGAGTGCACATCTTTGAAAACCCAATCCTAATATTCTACTCCTTCCCTATACTGTCAAAACACCCCACAAAATATGTGAAATCAGGAAGTGGAGACTAAGATGGCAGGGTCAAAGTGGGACCACTATCAGACACTGCATCCCCCAAAAGACTACTAAGCAAAATGGGTTGTCGCCAGAATTTTCCTCTGGGCCCATTATTTTTCCAGCGTGTTTCACAATTATAAAGGTATCTGTTACTGTTTATTGATGCACATGTGTAGGTGTATAAATTATGATTGTCCAGCGAAATCCCGAGCAAATTCCATACTCTTCAATCTAGAATCCCAGGCTTAATTCCATAAATCCCATGATTTGAAATTCCTGCCCTAGTGCTCAACCCCTGAATAACTTTGGATGAATTCTTAGGCTTTGCCTAAGATTTAACCTGGGAGAGAGCTGTAGGAACAATCGTAGCAGAGAGGTCCAAAAAAGCAAACACCCCATCAAGCAACCCTCCTATTGCTTAAACAATGTGGGCTTTTCAGACTCTTATTAACTTTTTTAGTTTGTTTGGCCTTGGTCAATACAGAGTTGAAAAACCTATGGCAATTTTTTGCATCTTTGAAATTTAACCCCATTAGGGAACAATAAAATATTTGGCACTTTGGATGTTGGGGCTTTTTTTTTTTTTTTTCCTGGTGGTGGTGGTACTGGTTTCAAACCCCTGTTGCAAAATGTATTAGTTTTCTTAAAAATCTTAGTCATGTTTGGTTGTTCTTTTAAATAAATATTGCTTTCCTTTAGTTATAGGGAAGGACATACTTTCTGCTCTCACCAAGACATAGGTTTAGAAATAAGATCCTGCAGAAATCCTTATTTAGAGATTTGTCTGTAGCTTTAGAGACCCGTATGGATGCATATCGTAACAGCAATTCACCTGAATTGCTCTAACTTTTGGTGAACAAGGATTCTCTCAAAAACAAAAACAAACAAACAAAAAGGCCACAATTGTGAACTGAATCAATTCATGACATCAAAGAAAATACACCTACAATGTCCATGAGTAATGAAAAGTTAATTACAGGAGAAGCCCACCTTTCTGTGCAATTAAGTATTATGTATTCTGGGGGAGGAAAGGAAAAAGTTCACCTCCAGATGAAGTTAAGGTTACCTGCAATGATGTGGTGACAAGTTTTTTTTTTATCAATATAGGAAAATATTATCTTATAATATGAAAGTGAAAAGGCAAGACACAACTTTTTATATTGTAATCTACTCTCAAAACTAATGATTTATATTTGAGTATGTATGGTTATATTTTCCTTGAAGAAAAGAGTATAATAATTATTGCTCCCCCTCGCTTACTCTTATTTACCTCTCTGCCAGTATATATAAAAAAATGGTACAGAAGTAATACACCCTTAAGAGGTGTAGTTACATGAAAATGCCAGACTGTTAACACATTTTGTTGAGATGTGAGAAAATGGAATATAAGGGAGGATGCAAATTTAAAATATATATATTTCAAGATAGCAAATGTTTCAAATTTTTCAAAAGAAATAATATCTACATAACAAAAATTATGAGTAAATCAGCCTTAGTTAATAACTACACCGCAGCAATGTTGCGTGAAAAACTCAAGAATGAGACTCAAGAGAATGGGTTTTTAGTGGGAGTGCTTGTTTTGCAAATGAAATGCTTTCCAGAACTTTTATTTATTATTTTGATTATACATATATTTCATGCTATTTTTATGGCTCTTTGCCAATCCCTTATTTCTTATGAGAATTTGATCTTTCAATTTTGCAGTTAGCTGGGATTACTACATATAAATATATTAGCTAACACGTCTGCCACTTAGTATCTGACACTGTGTCAGACCCTGTTCTAAATGATTTTCTTATATTCACTCACATAATCCTTAAAATTGTGAAGTAGGCATGATTACTATTCCCATTTTATAGATGAGAAGACTGAGGCAGTCTGGGAGCTAAATAATTTGCCCAAGGACACACAGCTAGTAAATTTTAAAAAGACTAGAAGGAAATACACCAAGTGGTTTCTCAGGGTTTAGGGTTATAAAGGACTTTTAAGAGAAATGATATGGCAGGATCTTGAACTAAGGACAACGACAGCTGAGCTGGGACAGAGAGGTCAGACTCCAAAACAGTTTAAGAGAAAATGCTGGCAGGGCTACGTACGGATTTGCTGATTTGTGGGGTTCAGAGAGAAAGAGAGGAGTCCAAGAATATTGCAGCCTCTGGCTTAAGTGACTGACTGGGTGCACATGGTCACTCATGTAGGGAATACAGAAGATGGAGCAGCTTTGGGAGAGAAGATGGTGTGCTCAGTTTGGACAGGTTGAGCTTTATTGTTAAGTATTTGAACATGGAAATTTTAAGCTCAAGAGAGAAGTCAGGTCTAAACTTGAGAGTCTTCACATAGATCCCATAGTTAAACCCAAAAGAGAGGTTGCTATAACCCAGGGAAGAGTGTCAAAGCGGAAAAAAGCTGTGGGCCAAGGACAAAACTCTGGAGAACCCCAACTTTATGGGCTATGCAGGGGATACAACGGCTATTCAGATTTAACATTAAAATAAAAAATTAGATATGAAATGTAAGCATATATTTGCTTTTCTAACTAAGTTTCATTTATGAGACACAGATAGCATGGAAGTAGGGCAGGGCAGTCAGACAAGTTTGAGTGCAAATCTAGCACTTTGCCACTTAGTAGCTCTGTGACTGCTGTCAAGTTACTGAGTGTCCACAAAACGTGACTGATTAATACACTACTCATACTGTTGTGAGTGTTAAATGGGTTCATCCACAAAAGCACTTATATGGTACAGTGCCTAGCATGTAGCATGGACCCAATAAATATTCGATATTCTCATTAACGAGTACACAAACCATAAAATTCTTTTTCATTCCACTGTCATGTTTTGCCAGTTGAGACAATGATCAGGAAGTCTGTGGGTTAGCAGGAATAAACTACAGTGAAATTAAACAACTGTTTGAAAAAGCCACCCAAATAATTCACAGACACTCAAGAACTGGTATTTTCCATGAATCGTATGGTACAGTACAAGTAAACAAGTAAAAGCAGTTGGTTAAAAGAATTAGAAATGGTGGTTTATGAGCTACAAGACTGCATTAACATTTTTCTTTTGTTCTACTCTAAATATTCAACAACTAGCCCCAGTGCTTGGCACAGTGTAAAGCAGTCAGTAAATTGTAGATTGGACGTAACAAAGTGATCTTTTAAAAAAGGAGGGGGGCTGAGTTCTTATATCTGCTATTAAACATTTCACTATTGTAAGAAACATTTCACTACTGTAATTCATGTAAAGAAAAAGGTGAACTGGCACCCTATGTGTTGTCATTTGAGATCTATGGAGAGTTTGGCTATGCACCTCCTCTCCCATCCGCATCTGCCACATATTTGAAATTCCCAGCCTTAGATGTTCTCCTTTGGAACAAGTTTTAAAGAGCTCAGAAGGGCCCATTAACGTTCAAACCTGTCACCTGCAAACGGGAATCAACTTGGCTTCTGGCAGACACTGATACGTGTTATCAGCTCCACTGTGTGAGTAGCTGCCTCCTGGAGGCCTCGCACTGGGGTGCAAGGAAGAATCGCTTCTGAGCTGACATGGTGGGGTCAGCCTTAGCCAGAGGCCAGGGCACCACGCACCACCAGCCGCGCTGCATCCAGCAGGCAGTCCCAGCTGCAGGGGCCAGCTAGGACAAAGGCAGCCCAGGGAGGTCCTGTGGTGGGTGGGATGCCAATCATGCCTGGGCTTCCGTATTTCTCACGCCCTGTCACCTCAGTCCTTCCTAGAACCAGCTGGCTCATGTCAGAATGAGCGCTACGTGATGTGTGGTGCATAGCGGCTTTCACCCTCATCTCAATTTTTTCCATGAGTGCAACCTCTGGTTCCCCAGCACATGGGGACTGGTTTTAAAATCTTAAATGTCTTTTTTGTTCTGTTCTGTTCAGTTCAGTTTAACCAGTTTAAATTCCATGCAATCTTTAAGCTGTGGGCTAATATGTATTACGCAATTCTCGGTTTGCCTTTTCTAAGGCACTTCAACTTATAAACACCATGCTAGGGGCCCCGGCCGGGAAAACTGAGCTATACGCACAGTCAGTAGGTTCCCACTCAGGTTCCGGCCTCCGCTGAGCTCGGGTTGTAGCTCCGCCTCGCCCCCGCCTCTCCTCTCTCCCTGCTCTTCTGGGTCGGATTCCGCCAGCAAGGCCCCCAGAGCACCCCGGGGGGAGGGCGGGGCGCCGAGCCTAGGCCGTCACGTCCCGAGCGTCGGAAGGCGGAGCCTAGGGTGTGATGTCACGATACCCCGCCCCCACCACCCTGATATTACCCGCGCCGCCCGCCATTTTGTCTCCAGTGTCTCGTTTGCAGTCGACAGTGTGGAAGGGAGCGTCTTGGTCTGTAGGCGAGAGGCAGGGACCAGGGTCTATTGTCTGTGTTTGACTCCATAGTTTGGTCCGAGGCCTTCCGGAGCTTTCCCGGGGCAGTCGGCAGAGGTCGCCGAGACCGCCCCCGCCCCTCCCCGCTGTCCCAGGGACCGGGAGGGACCGAGCCCGCGTCACGCCCCTCAGCGCTCGCCGCTCCCTTCTCTGTCGTTGCGTCCGCATCGCGCCCCCGGAATCAGACGGTGCCCCATAGATGGCCAGCTTTCCTCCGAGGGTCAACGAGAAAGAGATCGGTGAGGAATGGGACGGTGGGTGAGGGGTGCTGGGGCGCGCAGGGGCTCCGGAGAGGCTGGGAATCCCCGCAGGAGGCTCAGGAGGAAACGTCTCCGAGTCTAAGGGGAGTAAAGGGTGAGCCCGGGCCAAGCCCTGGAGCGAACAGGAAGGAAGCGGCCCCGGGGGCTGGTGTCGCCGAGGGGTAAAGGGGATCATCACTGATGCAACGCCTGCCGTGCGCCGGACTCCGAGGGAGGCGGCGCGCAGATCTTAGCGCCGAGTAGCGAGGACTTAGTGGCTTTGTGGCCCGGGGCGGACACACACCCCTTGGGAACCCAGTTTCCTCATCGGAGGTCCACGCGGGGCCTTTATCTTGGGATTCTTCTTGGCTCTACGGCTGGGACGCCGAGTGGACCGGGGGAGTGGGCAGGTCTCAGGGACTCTTTTTAAGTTTACGACGCGAAAAGTAAACTTATGTGATCTGAGCTGCAGTGGAAGGGGGGGGGTCCTCATGTACAACAACCGCTCTTTAAGGAGAAATGCTACCAAAGAGGTGCTTGGAAAAAGCCCTAGTTTAAAAAATGCGATAGTGTTCAGAAAAGGCAGTGAGTGGTTCAGGGGAGGAGTCTCGGAGTTATCGTGCACACACAGAGGAGCAGGGAGGAAGCACGGGGGGTGGGTGGAGTGACAGAAGAGCAGACTCTGAAAACTGGTTTAGTGACTAGCCCTGCCATGCTGAAGGCAGGGCAACAGTGGATTGCAAAGGTTGTGTGCCAAGACCTACCGACTCCGTGCCTCAGTTTAAAAAGCACCTCACGTTGGTTAAATCCTCTTTTAAGGTAAAATAACTGGAGCAACTTTTGGGAGGAGTTGGGAGTGCCCGTGCATTGATAGATATACTTAGTCAACATTGGCCTTGCCAAGTCGGCATGCTATACACCTTAAGTATATACAGTATATTTTTTTAAAAATAAAGTGAATTTAGCATCTCCCCCCCCCAAAAAAAAAGAAGCCCCAACACTGAACTTACTGTGTTAAATGAAAATTGGAGATCGCTACTGAGTCGACAGCAAAGCTTTGCGTTTCCCTGTTCTTCCACTAAACGGGTGCCTTTACTAAATGCATGGAGAAGGTATTTATAGAGAAAGGGAGAAGGTGAAGTAGCCTAAACGCCCCGTGTCATCCTGTATTGTGGGTGAATTTAATCCAGAGACAGCTATCTTAAGAGTTCTGGACTTTAGTTCTCTTAGGGATGAGGTTGAATGGCAAGTTAGGAAGGGACTTGAACCCCGATTTTAAGAACAATTTTAGAATACAGAGAAAACAAAATTCATGTCCAATTTTTACTTTAACCCTTAAGACCAATACATTCTGAAGTGGAACATAGAACTCAAAAGTTCTTATTCTCAATCCAGTGGGGTTTTCTTACCCCTACTACACAGTATCACAACCGAGTGATCTGCCTTGCATTTATGTTTTAACTTCATCTTGTTGAACCATTTTGAAAACTTCAGTCCTCTCTAAGATATAGAGCTTCTTAGCATACCTGCAATAAGATATAACTGTCCACTAAGTAGTCTTTTTAATTTAATTTTTTTTCACATATTTAGGTCTCTGTTATTTCATGGATATAGTATCAAGTTACCAGCTAAGTGCCTAGACCTTTTCTAACCTTTTTTTTTTTTAAGTATCATTCGGATACAAGGTTAAACACTAATATCTTTGTAGTTTTGTATCCATCAATAAGGACCTAATTTTTCCCTTCTTTCTTGGGTATTATAGCTGTTTGATTTCTCCAGTACATACTGAAAGAGAAGAGATAAGATCCCATGAATAATTAAAGAAATTTATGTGACAGAGTTACTGCCTTGAGCTACTGGCCTCTCTCACAAGGCACTGTCAGAGATCCTCCCTTTCTGGTTATGAAATTGCAGGGAGGAATGTGAAGAAGGAGCTAAATCTGGTTTGCTTGGTTCAGCAGTGACTCAGATGATGTGTTACTACTGTGCAGACATTAATAATGTAGTGTTGTATCTATGGCCAAGTTTCTGTGGCTCACAGCCTTTCACTTATACAAAGGCTTTATGTCTGACATTTCTTAAAATACCAACATTAAACAGTTGCAGGTAATGTAATAAAGATTTAACTTACAAAAAATATTTTTTCAAAGCATGTCATTATAAACCTTGTGCTAGTTTATAATGTTGTACCAGTAAGTATGTAAATGAGTGCTTAAATCCATTTGATTAAAATGAGACCATTTGATATACTTGTTACAAGCAAAGAAACACAAGGTAATTATTAATACAATACTTGTAACAGTATTTATTTGGCAATTTTTTATAGTAGTCCCGTTTCTTGAATTTATATTTGAGAATAAATTATTTTATAATTTCGTGTCTTTGTTATTTAAATCAATTTTTTCATTGTTAATTTGTTACCACCCTTTATTTAAGAGGAGTTGTGTGGTTGTGGCCAAGGTAAAAGAAGAAAAAACAAACTGCCTTGTTATGAAAAAGATTTTGGGTTTTGAAAGAAAATACAGAGTGATCCTAAAATACAGACTAAAATATGAGTTTTCTGTGGGAAAGTTAGTCTTGCTTATGCTACTAAAGGAGAGGTGAGTTCTGGTCTAATGTACCACATGTTTTTGAACTTAAATGCAAGGGCCAGGCCCCTATTTTTTTGAGAAAGAAATTGCCTGAGTATACTTGTCTATAGTTTAACCAGGGGCTTTCCCTTTTTAAGATAATTCTTGCATTTTTCAGTCAAATTTTAAAAGTTGCTTCCCTTATTTAAGACCTTTGATTTTTTTTTTCCATCTAAGATTCATGATTTAAAAGATAGATGTGGTTAAACAGAAACCCAAGTTTAAAACAAAACAAAACATTGAAACAGGGATTGCAAATTCAGGGGCCAGGCACATAAAGTCCCCAAGTAAAATGACCATATAAGACTATGGGGCTTGGAGGATTTTAAGGACACATGGAGCAGCAAGCCTTTTCAAAAATGATTTGTATGTTTAAAAAATCACTATGCAGGTATATGAGGGTCACTGGTTTGTAAATTTTGTGTTAAGAAAGTCATGTTACTACCAGTGAAGTTAGTGTCACCTTATGCTGTATTAATACAAAGGAGGTGGAGCTAGGTGGGGGTTCTGCTGCTTTGATTAAGCCATACTGAAGTATTGTGTTTAATTCTGGGTGCCACTTTTTTGAGGGCCATTACTAACGAGTTTATCCGGAAAAGTACGATGAAGGTGAAGATGGGGGATGGACTCAAGACCATGTAATCTAAGGAATGATTGAAAGGACTAGAGATTTTAGCTTGGTGAAAATATTTAGTTGATGATATCATGGCTGTCTTCAATATGAATGTCATGTGAGAGCAGGATGAGGCTTATTCTCTTAGGTCAGCATCAGGACTGCGTAGGTGGAGTGACAAGAAAGACTCTGAGTTATCAGAAGGGAAATTTCTGATAACCTCGGCTACAGCAAATTAGAATGAGCCTTGTTAGGTATTCGTATTTATGAGTATCATAGAAAAATAGGTGTCAGCTTTATTTACTTTTTTTTTTTTTTAAGATTTTATTGGGGAATTGGGGGAAGGGGAACAGACAAGTTGCTGACCTTTTGTTCTTTGGTCTAGTTGTGGAGGACATCACTTCACTGGCCCATGTTGGTATCATTGCACTCTTCCTGGGTGAAGCAGTCACTCATTGGCCATTGGATGGCCGCTCACAGAGGCTGACGGCAGCTCACAAAGCTTTGTTTACTTTTTAAACCATAGCTTATTTGTTAATATAGCAAAGAATTGGGCAATGAAATATTTAAATCACTTGAAGCTTATACCTGTGCTTTCATATTCGTTCAGTAAATATTTACTGAGCATCTGTCATATGCCAGGTGCTACACTTGCTGTTGACGGAGCACACATCGAGTCTGGAAGTGTCACTGAATTAATACATTTTGAGGGTTTGTGTATATATATCTGCCCTAGCAATAGGAGTATAAATAGTTCTCATTGAACTGCACTATATAGAATATTTTGGAAGTTTAGTTGTTGAAAGTTTAAGCTGAAAAACAAGAGAATACACTAGCAATAACCAGACAACTGACCACAAAATAGATAAGAGGGAAACTAAACTTGACAATAATTTATAACTAAAAAGGAAAAATAGCAAAATTTGAAATCAGGACGAACCCAAGACAGCATTGGTGATACACTGAAAAAGGAGATCCTTTCCCAGAATTGAGGAAATTCCAGCTGAGTGTGCATGCACACACGTGCAGCAAGAGCTTCTTCATGCTTGTTAAACAGAAAAAAAAAAGTTCTCTGTACAGTCTGTTGATATACCAGCTTCTATTATGAATGCTAAATTTAAGTACTCTTAATTAAACTTAAAATGTATGGAATTGTCTATTATTTCTCCTTTTAAAATTACTCAATAGTTGAGTGAGTCCCGAAGTAATATGGAGGCAGTCTCAAAAACATTGTTGGTTATATATTATTTCCTGTATTTTTATTTTTCCTTTTAGTGAGATCACGTACCATAGGTGAACTTTTAGCTCCA